CTGATGACAGGGGAAACAGGCAAAACAAAGGGGGGAAAAAAAGGGGAAAGAAAGGTGAAGCTGGGGAAGACTTGCCCGGTGGAGGAAAACCGATAGACATTCACAGTAGAACCTAGGAGACGGAAATATAACAGCGATTTTGGTTAAAATGGACATGATTTTTATGATTTTATATTTTCGAACGAAATTGAAAATTGAAACCCATTTATTTGGCCCTGTAAATGTCACCGTTTAAGCTCCTTAGGGTTCCCCTTGGATGTACCCGATGTTATTCGGGCCAAATAAGTAGTTTTTTTTGTTTTTTTTTTGGAGAGTAAAAATATATTGATTTAGATCATTATAAACAAAATAAAATATATAAATGTATCAGTATATAGATTATGTCAATATACACAATCAACAATTTATTCTAGAAAATTCATTCTATAATAAATACATAAATTCTCTTAAAATGTCTGTTTTGACGAAATCGCAGGTATATGGAGGGAGGTCTTATGTAGCTTTTGAATACATCCAATTAACTGCGATTTCGTCAAAGGACTCAAGAGTCAAAACGGACATGTTATATTTTTTGAACGGCAAGAGGAGTGACCAGAAGCAGCGCGCCAAATGGCAAGCATAGGAACTTAGGAAGTGGGATCTGGGAATTTAGTTAACGTACTAAGGAAGGACACGGGGTCACTGATGTGGAATGGGAAGAGCTAAGAATAGGCATAAGAGGGATGGTTTCAGGATGGGCTAGAGACATGAGATCTGCGGGCCCGCGAGGCTGCTATGTAGGCGCCTCGTGTCTCTTCGCACCCGCCCCCTGCTGTGTGACTGGGTGCTGCCCGTAAGCTTCCCGGCCAGCAGGCGAACCGGCTAGGAAAGGCTATGGTTTGGGGGGTGGGATATACCTTAGCAGCCCCCTTCCCTTGCTTAGGCGACTAGTGCCATAAGGGTCCGGCGGGTCTCTGTCTATTTCTTCTCTTTTCTTATTGTGATCTCTTTGCTCTTGTGGAAAAATGCTTGCCGGTAATAAGCAACTGGACTGACACCGACCACAAATTCCACAATAGAAGGGGCAATGTTTTTTGGGAAAAAAAAAAAACAAAAAAAAACAGTGTACTGAGTTTAGCGGGTACTTTCAGCCGTTAAAACCGCCACTCCATCCGGAACTGTTTTGACAACCAAAATTTCGCATTTCCGTGAGCCTGAAAGGCTGAAAATCTTTTTTTTTTTTTTTTTTTTTTCCCCCTCCAAAAACAAATTGGACCATTTCTCCATCCATCCGTGTCATCCTTGCGCAGGGGTCATTTGCTAATTACCCTTCTCCGCATCAGTCAAATTTTAATGGATGTCCCGAAGGGGTCCCCAAGCCTGAAATTTACAATGCCACTGCGAGGGAAAATAGTTGTGGCACCCTTCCCCACCTGGGCACTGTAGATTTTGGTCTGGTACTTGATGACACGTAACATGAACTGTGATGCATGCCGAGGCCGTTGGAATGGTGGGTTTATAAAGTTTAAAGTTTAAACTTCAAAAATGAAATTAAATCACCAGTACCTCCGAGCGTCTTTTTCCTGGTGCGGATTTGTGCTGCGCGACAATAAAAACGAGCATGCGCGGCAGCGCGGAATCCTGCGGATGCATTTTTCTTTCTGTTTTTTTTTTTTGCCCGGGGCTGCCAGCCATTTTTTCCATCCTGTAGGCAGAGCCCCGAAGAAAGCCCCACGGCCGTGTCCCAACAAACATGGCTGGGAAAAAGTACAGGTGGTTTAAATGTGACGCGTGTCGATGTTTTTTTTGGCGAAACTGGCGCATTTCATTTGCCCCATGATGGACATATGCCAAATGTTTGTCGTAAATTCCATGGAAAACGTACCAGTAGAGCACATTAATTAACAGCAGAAAATTTAAAATTATAAATAAATTTAGACACTAGAATAATTTTTTTAAGTTTATATATATATATAAATTTATACTTGATTAAAAAATCTATTCTATAATATTATATTGATATTTAAAATTTAAATTATATTTTATAATCTATTAATCTGAGACATACTTACCAGGAGTCGAAGTCCATCAGCAGCTGCTGAGTGCAGTGGTCAACCAGCTTTGATATGTAATCTGCTTCAGATCTTAGCGTAGTCAGTTCTTCGTAAAATGTCCGATACTTTTTCTTCAAGTCCTGCGCAAAACGACACAACAAGATTATCAGCCTTGGGCACTGGGCCAAAAGAAAGAAAGATAGCATCCACAAAGTGGTAGGTTGAACTTAGTTGTTCGTAAACTGTCCGATACTTTTCTTCGAGTCCTGCTCAAAAAGACAAAACCAGATGGGTGGGGGGAGGAGAGGTAATTATACTCAAGAGTCGAGATATCGAACAAAGACTCGAGTTACTCAACACTTTGTAGACATTGGCAGATAGCCTCGCGGTCTTGCAGGGAGAAAAACATTGAGTCACGCGAAACAAAAACGCAAGAGGACGATCACCTTGAGCTTGACGACGGACTCGAACTCCTCTTCATCCATGACTTCAACCTCCTCAGGCAGCTGTCCGTCCTCCTCATACAATGCCATCTTCTCAGCCTTCTTTCCTTCAATTCGCGCCCGCAGACTGTCGATTTCATGCTGCACCGGAAACCATCACGAAACAGAAGAAATCGTTCTGTAAAACAACTGTACAACTGTTATACCGCGTCGAACGCGGGGACGCCGCCATTCGGGCGGGTTGCATGCATGCTTTATGTTCTAGACAGTAAGCTTGGCAAAGGTCTTATGAAGCCATTCGGCGATGGGCAGCCTTCTGGATGGTAGTGTCCAAAGCCAACACTCTCCCACACACCACACGCAACCCACTCACACGCGCACTCACGCCCGTGTTGACTGGATCCAGCTCACTATCTCAGTTGGATGGCAGCGAGAGTGCCACAGGCGACGGTGGGGATTGAGCCCACAACCTCCTGAATGCCACTTGCGTGCCTAACCAATTGAGCTGGACGCAGGATGGAGCCCAGATTCTATAAATCGCAGGGAAAAAAAAAAAACACTGGAAAATGAGGCCACACAAGTGCAGCCTCCTGGCTGCGAACATCAATGTGTCGTCCTCTGGGATATCCGTTAAAAATGTAACGATACAGAGAGAGAAGATTACCATGGCCCCTGCGCAAGAATGACACGCATTCATTGAGAAATGGTCCCCAAAAAAAAAAGAAAAAAAAGTTAAAAAAGCACACACACACACAAACAACAACAACAACAACAACAAAATCATTGTGTGCATTTGCCAACTACTTTCTTCCTTCATTATCTTCCCTCTCCCTATCTCTGAGGGCATGCTCACAGTAGCACTCTCATAAATGTATCCAACCCCATTTACGGCGGCACGTGGATGCATCTGGCTGCAATTCCATCCCGAAGCAATGCATTGAAGTGTTAAACCACCAGTACCTCTCCCAGGCAGACTTTCGCAAAAAAAAATGGCCACCATCACCATGGGATTTTGCGAACGAACAAACAGTGCTACCAGACCAAAATGGTTGGTGGTGCGAACCAAAACAGAAGCAAAAACGCGCCCGTGGCGGCTCTTTTTTTTTTTTTTTTTTTTTTTTTTGCTTTTCCCTCGGTGCGCAGTGCAAGTCCGCAACGAGAAATGGAGCCTTGGAGGTGGTGGTGTTTTAAACCACCAGAACATCCGAGGCTGGCGGCTTCCCCCTGCGTGCCAAGCTTTGCGGAAACGCCGGCATGGCGTTTTGTTTTCAATTTGGCTGGTGCCGCCAGCCATTTTCGCCCGGTTTGCCCCGCGACTCCGAACTTTTTTTGGAGAGGCTCTTTCATTTTCTCAACTTGCCTGGGCCCATCATCCATGTACTCGGGGTTTAAACCGCCAGTACACAGCCCCCAGCCTTGCTGAAGAAAAGAAACTCGTGGACTACGAAATTTTTGGAGGCCCAGCGCAGTAGATAAATTGAATCGGCGGGGGCAGCCTCCGAAAAGGGCCCGCGGCCAATAGCTGGATGTGCTGGTGGTTTAAGGGACACGGTAAAACAACATCGAAAGAAGTCAAAACAAAAGGATCATGTCTTTTTTTTTTTTTTTTTTTAAGGGTGATGGCCTCTAGCTACGTTGCGATTCGTACTCACCCCCGTACGACTACAAGTTGTACTCATTTCTTGTACGCTACTCGTACTCAAGGCCCGTACGACTTTTTTTAATTTTTTTTTACTGTTTTTATTTTTTTTCTCCAATTATAATAAGAATCTGCAGATGGTGCTCAGGCAAATGTTGCTTGTCCTGGGGTTTTACATCACATATATGTTTTTCGGATTGGCGTACAGGTTCCCGTACAGATATTATCTGTACGTTTCGTACGGAAAGGCCCCGTACGTGTACGTTCGGTATTATCATCGGACTAACCAGCCCAGGTAAAAATTCAATATTGTGTCTAATCTGACATCGGGTGGCCTTTTCAGCCCAGGGTGGCCTTGATTGCCTTCAGGGAACCCCCAACGGGGACCCAACGGGGGGACACCGGCCAGGGGACAGCCGGTAGCAGAGGGACCGAGCATCATCTGAGTGGCCAGTCGCTGTGCCTCCCCGATTACCCCTCCCCCCCTATGAACATCAGCAGAGACTGCTTTTTAATGCCAATTGGGGGGACCAACGGGCTATCTCTGCATGAAGAATGGATGGATCAGACCTAGCTCCTCACCCTATGGTGCGCCTGTGCTCTTTGTGCCTAAAAAGGATGGCGGCGTTCGCATGTGTATAGATTATAGGAGATTAAATGACATAACCATAAAGAATGCAAAACCATTACCGCGAATAGACGATTTGCTGGATCGCGTGCAGGGAAGCAAAGTATTTTCAAAGATTGATCTAAAATCCGGCTACCATCAAATTGAAGTTGAGCCGGAAGACCAACATAAGACTGCCTTCAGGACAAGGTATGGGCATTACGAGTTCGTAGTTTTCCCCTTTGGTCTCACGAATGCCCCTGCCACTTTCCAAAGGACAATGAACGAACTATTTCGTGAGTGGTTCGATAAATTTGTTGTGATTTATTTAGACGATATTTTGATTTTCAGCAAAAATGATAAGGAGCATGCTGAGCACCTTCGACTTGTGCTAAATAAATTGAGAGAAGCAAAACTCAAGTTAAACCCAAAGAAGTGTGAATGGGCTAAGCGTCAGGTGCTATACCTAGGACACGTGATTGATGGAGATGGGGTCAAACCGGAAGATGCAAAGATAGCAGCAATCAGAGATTGGCCGAACCCCCTGCACCCTGACTGAGTTGCGGTCGTTCCTTGGGTTAGCCAACTACCATCGAAAGTTCGTAAGACACTTTACGATAATAGCTGCTCCCCTTCGCCGATTACTTAAGAAATAAGTAATTTGGAAATGGGATTCAGACTGCACGATGTCCTTCAAGCGTCTGAAAAAGTGTTTGATTAATTATTCGGTTCTTAAAGTGGCGGACCCTTCCTTACCTTTCGTGGTCACAACCGACGCTAGTCAATATGGTATAGGTGCTGTACTCCAGCAAGATGATGGGCATGGGTACAGACCTGTAGAGTTTATGTCTTGCCGCTTACCTAACGAGAAGGTGGCCGCTTCAACGTATGAACGAGAGTTGTATGCTTTGCGTGAGGCTCTCAATCATTGGCGACACTACCTTCTAGGAAGGCATTTTAAAGTATACTCTGACCATGAAACACTTCGCTGGCTCAAAACGCAGGCTCGAATGACACCTAASTTGACSAGGTGGGCTGCGRAAATTGATATGTTTGATTTTGAATTGARGCCAGTMAAGGGTAAGTATAACGTTGTTGCTGATGCACTAAGYCGTAGATCAGACTTTTTCGGTGCTATTGTGACCTATCTAGACGTAGGTGCTGACCTACAAGACAAGATTAGGAATGCGTATCCCTCTGATCCTGTTTATAGAACCATGATTAAGCTAGTGCAAGAAAAGCCAGCAGAGTTTCCCGATCATAAAGTAACTCAGGGTCTATTGTTTGAACGAACTAATGTGCATGATAGGCTGTGTATACCCAATAATGAAGAGATCAAAAGTATGATCTTGGGGGAGTGCCATGATACAGAAGGCCATTTTGGGTGGAAGAAGACCTATGGGACCTTGTTGCGTTCGTGCACCTAGCCTCGCATGAAAGCAGACCTGGAGACTCTGTCTCTATAGATTTCATGGATACTAAGGTGAAGAGCAAAAATGGGAAAACGCAAGTAATGGTCATAGTGGATAGATTCACTAAGTATGCTGTTTTTGTAGCCTTACCTTCGGAAGCCAAGACTGAATTGGTAATTCGGGAATTCTTTAACCATTGGGTAAAAGACTTTGGACATCCCTTGACTATAGTAAGTGACAGAGATACTAGGTTCACAAGTGAACAATGGCAGCAACTGATGAGTGTTTATGGCTCTAAGTTGACAATGTCATCAGGTAGGCATCCTGAGACTAATGGTCAAACTGAGCAGATGAATAAGATATTGCAGCAAACTTTGCGCATGTACATTCGTCCCAATCAGATTGACTAGGACGAACATCTGCCTAAAGTTGCCAGTGCCGATAATAACTCTGTACATCTATCTACATGTAAGACTCCTATGGAGTTACATCTGGGATGGCGTCCACGCAGACCCATTGATCGGTTGAACCCGGATCAAGTACAAAAGCTTCCTATAGGGACTAGTGAATTTGCAGTCCAATATCAGAAAGATATTGAGAAAGTAAAAGAAAATATACTCAAAGCACAGCATCAGATGATTGAACAGGCAAATAAACACAGACGCTCGTCTCAATTTGTTGTAGGAGATGTGGTTTGGGTGAAGTCTAAAGAGTTTGCTCCTGAAGAGAACATCTCTCAGAAGCTTCTACCCACCTACAGAGGACCTTGGCAGGTTCTAGACGTAATTGGAGATGTGGATGGTCCTTCGTATGTCATTGAGATTCCTCCTCATCTACGTACATATCCAGTTTTCCATGCGTCCAAGCTCTTACCTTGTGTAACGAATGAGCTCTTCCCAAGTCGCCGATCAGCGATACCTCCAAGTAGGGATGGGAAGTATGACGTAGATAAAATTGTTGCAGAAAGTACTTACCACACTGGACGTAGAGGCAGACCACACTGACAGTATAAGGTGAGGTTTGCATACCAGGATCCTAGTGAAGATCGCTGGTTTACAAAAGAAGAGCTGTTAGACTCTGCACCTCATATTGTGTCTGCATACGAAAGCGCAAAGAGGGGGATTCATATCATTGATAGGTAAGTGATTCTCAGAGGACTTCGAATTTAGGCTGGCGAGAGTAAAAGGGCCTTTACCCGATATAGGCCTCAGGCCTTGTAAAAGTAAAGCAGCACCGATCTTGTAAAAGTAAAGCATTGTGAAAAGGTATCTCGCCAGGGCTCAGAACCGTGAAAGCAGGTCAAAGGTCAAGTTCTCTATCAACAGACACCTCTAAATCTAAGGCAAAGGGCATTCTCAAAAGACTTACCTGTTCACCAGGAGATGTGTGTGTCATGTCTGTTCGGGTAAGAGTGTGTCTGTACGT